CGGGACTGTCCCGCCAAAATCGGGACGTGTGGTCACTTTATCAAAACCAAATAAATTGACGATAATAAGTAGAGTTTATTTAACTAGTCTGACAAATAAAAAGAGAAATGAGTCGTCATGCTGAACAGGTAGAAACGATCGAGAAATTAAAAATTCCAGTGGTGTAGTGTACCAAATTATATATAAGGAGGAGGATAATAATTGATTACAATTTTAATTTTTGTTTCTTTAAAATAAATGCACATTTAGGCGTCTATATAAATATTATTTTAAATGTGGATGACCACATTGTCGTGCTGCATATCCTCTTATCTGTGCCCATATGGAATTGAGGTTGCAGTGGTACGGAGATAATCCGACTGCACATAATTTGGTCTATGTCGCTTTACTAAAGATACAAGTTCCGCTTTAATGGCGTTATTGTGGAATGGTATTCCTTTTTCTTGAAGCCATTGTTGAATTTCGGCCTTCCAATTTATGATGAACGTTGTCTTGAAAGTGAAGCTACGCCTAATCGTCATTTTAAATATAAGTTTTACTTGCTTTTTGTGTTTTTCTTCCATTTCATTATTTATTTACCTCATACAATATTTAATTCGTTTTTTTTTTATTTTTATAGATTGAAGAAGAACAAGTGAAGAGATTGAAGTTCATTTTGATGCTGCTGAGAAAACAAATCGTCTCCCTCCTATGATTTGTTAACTTTTCGTCTTGGAGGCTCTTGCAGTTAATTAATTGGGGTGAGCATACATGTTATATTGTATATGTAACAGTATCAATTAAAAATGGTAAATGAAGTCCCAGAAACTTCAATTTCTTAGACATTTGTAACTTGACGTTATGACTTATGTATAGTAGTTTAAGGTACTTTTCCAATTACAGAGCATAATGCGACTCAGTGCCGCACCATGCCGAAGTGTGCTGGTGCTTAATTGGAATGTGTATTAGTCTTCAAGTGCGCTAACAGAGTGCACTAATGTCAGTGTTAAGGAAAAAAAACATTCATCGACTTAGCAACCTTATTAATGTACTTTTAAAGGGAATGGTATACAACAACAATAATAATTAGTCGAAAGCTTTTTCTATCAACTCCAACTTAAAGAAAATAAACTTCGTTCATTTTACTAAGCTGGTATCCATTGCGCACATCGGACATAGGCAGTACTTTTCACAGTGCTCAACGGTGCGAGGCGTTGCTGTAGTTGGAACACTCGATGCTGCGCATAATGCCGCATTGTGCGCTCTAGTGCTCTAATTGGAAAACTACCTAAATATCTATTGATCACAGCTTAAATTGACTTTTAACGTGCATCAGTGGAAATTTTTATAACTACCTATGGTCTACATCATAAATTGACGTCGTCTATCTATGATTATTTCACATTTGTCTGTCAAATATGATCTGTCATGTAAACTCGACGCTTGTCGCCATTTTATGATTCAGCTGTTTTACTTGCTTTTTGGTGCGTGCTTTTAAGTGTGTTAAATCCCTTCCTTAATTAACAGGGCGATTAATATGTTTTTAGTCCATTTCTACAGATATTCCAACAAATGAGAGAGAATAAAGTTCAGTTTGGTTGTACTGAATCAGCCAATGTCTACAAGGGTGTTGTCTTTCGTGGGCTATATTCTTGATTTGCTGATTTCTTCTTCGTTTTGCAACATTATGCAGTTAATTTTGGTCCTGAGAGTGGGAGGCAATTGGAAATTAATAGAAGCCACTGAAACAACAAATTGTCTGCAGTGGTACTCCTCCTAAATTTGATTTGCGCTCATCAGACTGGTAGACTTCAGAACGCTACTTTCTGCAGTTGGTTAAAGTAAGAATACCTGACATAATTAATATTAATTGCTGTTTATTAATCTGTAATGGCATTTCTTTTAACAGTTATCTATTGANATCATCCGTTGTTTCAGTAGCATCAAAATTAACTGCAATTCCTTCTCGTTATTTGGACAATCTGTAGAAACAGACAAGAAAAAGTAATTAATTACCATTTTTTAATGAAGTAAATCAGTAACATATACACTTATGGAAAGATCCCTTCCACATTAATTCTGCTTCTGAAACGTTGTTTGAAAGTTGTCCACTGAAGCAAGTTACAAATGTCTAACAAATTGAAGTTTCTGGGATCTCATTTACTATTTTTAATTGATACTGTTACATACCATTGTCATAAATCCTTTCTTCAGCAAACTGTCTCCGTTCCCAATAGAAAAAGGGCACTTTCATGCTTTGTTTAAGACCATAGGTAGAGCTACTTCAGGAGCAAATGAGGACTGATACAACTAATGCTCCATAATTTAATGATATCCCGAGTTCTTCTAATGTTCCTGTAAAATGAAGTCTTACGAAAAACTATTCCGATATAATTTAATTTTAAGTAAATAACATGCATGATCATTGTTGAAGTAATGCCGAACCCTTTTCTCTGTTAATATAAATTAAATATACTACATATATAATATACCATGTATGTTCACCTTAATCAACTACAAGAGCCTCTACAATGAAAAGTTAGCAGCTAAAACACCGTAGGGGATGACTCGTCTTTCCAGTAAGCAAAGGATACCAATCCCAATCTCTCTCAATTGTTGACCAATCTCTACAAACGGACAAAAACAATTATTAACTACTTTTAATCAAAAATATTTCAAAGGTGTCTGCTAATATATTAGATACAATGTACAATTGATTAATAAGCAAAATAATAGACACCTGTTACGCGGAAAATGTAAGTAAATAAATAAATGTAAGCCTTTTCACTTTGACTCATATTAAATAAAAGAAATATGAAATAAAACATAAACAGATAATCAAAAACCACTGTCAAAAACTAATAAAATGGCGACGTGACGTCTGTCAATTTAACTTATGCACATGCTGCGGACAATTGCGAAAAACAATAATATAGTAGGAATTAATCAATATAACCTTTCAGGGTATTACACGTAGAAAGAAAAATAAAACTAATTCTGCGAAAAAATTGGCTGGATAAGTTGAATTTAAGAGACGTGAAAAGAACGTCCTAACGCTACGAAACATGAACTTATAATGCACCAAGCGCGTTTCATGACGTATAAAACGCCACTCAGAAGCAACAAATTACATTTCTGCGACGGTTCGCGGTAAATATTTCGCAATTTAACCAATCGCGTGACTAGTTTCATCCCCGTTTTACAGAATTAAATTTATGCGCGGTTTTGCTTGATCCAAGTTCCATCGCCTGATCACAACTCCAAAAATAACTGAATACAAGAGCGAGAGAGAGAGCGGAAACTTAAAATAAAGACTATTAGAGAGATAATGATTCTAAATTGAATTACGGATGTTCTGGAATATAAATTATGTAAAGATGAAATAATAACGTGCTTTATAAATAAAATAATGGATAATCAAAATAGAAAGTAATTTTCCGTTCTTCCTTGAGATGTATTATCCTATTAAATAAAAAAATATATCAAAATAGGTTCACAATCAACAAACAAATAGCGGAATATACACATAACAAAAAAAAAGCAATACTGTCAAATTGAGAACGAATTAAATAAGTTATACGTAAAACTATGATTAAGAGTACAAGAAAAATAGTTACCAATGATAGTAAGTTTGGATAATCGATTAAATAATTTGTCAATAACATTTGTACATTACTGTAATTTTTATATTTTTATGTATTATTAGGGCTTAATATGATTGATTAATACACAAAATAGCGTGTTTTACTGTGATTTAATTTATAGGAAATCAAATCAGAAGATAATCGATTAAATAATTTGTCAATAACATTTGTACATTACTGTAATTTTTATATTTTTATGTATTATTAGGGCTTAATATGATTGATTAATAAATACACAAAATAGCGTGTTTTACCAAAGCTATTAGTATTTGTCGTTAGTCCTTGTAATTGCACTATTCGCTTTCAGGTAATCGAAGAAGACTGAACAGAAGACATCGTATTTTTTGCTTTTTATTGTATTTTCTTTGAAATTGCATTTGTTTTCTTGCCTTTCTCTTACAGGTATTTTGTTGTTTACTCTATAAACTGTTATATTTTTATAATCAGAACTTAGGTTGATATTAAAATTGTTTCTAAATTGATTTTTTAGCATAATCGTTAAAATTAAATTAATTATTTGTTAACGCTTTCAAAACTAACATTCATTTGGGCGGATAGGGTGGCTATAAGGGGAGATGTGGAGGCCACAGAGGGTTAGGGGGACTTTTTTCTCCCTAATCTAGTGTTTAAATAGTAATATGACAGTTTACGAGTAATACAACACTTTTTCTTGTATTTCAATTAAAATTTCATGTGTTGCAGGTATTTTGTCTTTTAACATTTATAAGTCATTAAAACTGTTATTTCTTACATTTTTTGTTTGTATCATGTATTATACAGTTATTTAAAATAAATATCGTTTGTTGTAATAAATGTAAACATTGCGTCTAAATAAATAAATACATTATCATTGGACTGTCATTTTAAAATAAAGTTATAGATAGTAAAACTTGATTTTCGAAGTCCATTGTATCAGTTTTAATTTTTCCTACGCCTATCCGTCTGGCGGCAAGCGGTCGAATTAGACAGGTCCTTCGCGACCGCAGCGCTCTCTAGCGACAGACTAGCGAACTCGAGTAGTTCGGCTATTCGCCACCAGGGGCCCTCTAGCGACAGAGGATCCAACTAAAGTAGTTCTACTATTCGCCACCAGGGTGCCCTCTGGCGGTGGGACTGCTAAAGTAAAGAGGTTTGCCTATTTGTCACAAGGGGGCGCTGCGGACCTCACCTCCGAATACTCTCACAATATTTTATTTTACAACAGCATAAAAACTTGGGATCACATGTGATGAAATTTTAGTTTCTCTTTCTCTGTGCAAAGTAGCAGTACCAACAGTCCTGAGGAAAGAGTGAAGGTGCCTTTTGTCATTGGGAATGGAGACACTGTGTTATTGTTAAAGGAAAAATTTATGACATAAATTGGTAAGTAACATTTAAGAATAGTAGATGAGGTCCTACAAACCTCAATTTCTTAGAGATTTGTAACTTATTTTTAAAAGACAGATTTTAAACAAAAGACGTCTTGGTACGTAATGCATAAAATAACGAGCGTATGTTACTTCTTTGTATAATACCGTCAGCTTATTCAATTTTTTTCTAAAAGAGAACATCGATGTGCAGTTCCAATCCCCAATTTAGAAAGGTTTNATACTTGATATAATTAATTTTAATTGCTCTTTATTAATCTTTTATGGAATTTCTGTTAACAATTTTCTATTGTCAACAGTATAAATTGAGATTATATACATATGGGCATGTATCTCTTGACAGTTTTTGTTTTATCACAGAGTAAATTGACATTTATCATTGATTTATGGAATTTCTTTTTAACCTTTTTCTATTGTCTGGATCGTAAATTGACGTTGAGTTATTTGACATTTATCTATGCCGTGATCGATGGTTGTGATGTAAAATGGCCTGAAAGTAACGCTTGTTATTTTATAATTCACTATTTTACTTGCTTTTTGGTGCGTTTTTATTTGTGTTAAATGTTTCTTATTTATACGTGTAATTAACATGTCTTTTGTTCTTTTGTGTAGGTTATATAAGGTATGCAATAAATGAGAGAGAATTAATGTTCAATTTGGTGAAACTGAAACAGCCAAGGTCTACATGGGTGTGGTCTTTCGTGGATTATATTCTTGATTTGCTATTTCGTCTTCGCCTTGTAACATCATGCAGTTAATTTTCAACCCATGAGTGAGAGCAACTAGATATTTATTTGAATTCCACTGAATTAACAAATTCTCTGCTACGGTATTCCTCCTGGAGTTGGTTTGCTTTTCACACCTGTAAACTTTGGAACGTTACGTTCCACAATTAAATAATCTACTCTGGTAACTACGAGTTGCTACTTTTAAGCAGGTGTTTCAATAACTGGAGGTCCACACTTTACACGTAGTCTTCTTTCGCGCTCATATTCCTTCATACGAAGAACAAAGCTGTAAAAAATATCCTCATCATTCAACCTCTTGTAAACAAATATACACTATTAAGCAGTTTTTAAACTGTTAAATTGAGAACATCCAAATATGGCTAATTTAATGAATTCATTTGGAATTAAGATAAAGATTACTAAGAAAGCCCTTCAACAATAACAGCATAATTTTCTAATATGGGAAATATTTTCATTACTATTGAAAATATTGTTTTTTTCAAATAGTAGCTCTTATTTATTTAATTAATTATCATGCTTTCTGTACTTGAATTAAAGAAAACAGTAAGGTATAACAATTGTTAGTTACTAATGACTAAGAAGAGTAATAAGTACTTGTTTTTTATTTAGATTTATTTCAAATCGTTGTGCTTTGTGAGTTAGTAGCATTTTTAGTCATGTTAATAATTAGTTATTTTGTTACGTTTTAGTATCTCGCTTTGGGCCCTGCTATTGGTGCCTTATAAGTTGTATAGGTTTTATTCAATTAATAAATTGTATTCAATTATGCCCCGAGTGAAAATATTATAATACAACAGCATAAAATTGCTATTTAATAGCACTTACTCTTCATATTCACAATTTAGATAAGCATGTTTCTCATGCGAACATTTCACAGCAAATGGCCAATGGTCTTTCCTACAAGCTTTATATGCAATCCCTAAATGTGCACAATAATCACGTTTATTAAGTGGTACTTTAGCAGAGATCAGTTCTTCTTTAGTTGCCTTTGAAACTAAAACATGAATCGTTTCTCTTATTTTTACGAAATAAAAATATTACATAAATAACCTCTTTCGACACGACCATTAGGAAATCCAAAATTTGGATCGTAACTAGGCTCATCTAAAGGACTAGGTGTAATATCGGGGTGCATATATAAGTTATAGGCATTCTCGAAGATATGTCCAAAGGAATTACCCATTGTAAAATTTGTTAACTCAAAGTATCAACTTTAAAACTAAAACTTGACTGAAACAATCAAAGCAATACTTCGTCAAACACAAATTGATCCACTGTTGATAGACAAATATTTTTTGACATTTGAACCGATTTGAACTTCTCAGCTATTCAGCCAATTAGAAATTCCCCTCTTTTGTTTTTCCAAAATGAGCTTTACCAAAGAAAACAATTGATTAAATACTTGACATTTGCCAACTAATTTTCAAAGAGTCGTAAAAACCAAACAACAATTATGATTTTCATAAAATAGCATATTTTTATACGATCAGTAAAGTGGAGTTGTGTGAATATGGCAACGGATATAAATCGTTTAGAACGCTACGAACGCTACTTTCTGTGGTTAAAGAAGGTGAGAATGCATAACATCATTATTACTGCATATTGTACTTGAATAGAGATTACGATATTTCCTTTAACGTTTATCTATTGTCCACAGTATAAATAAACGTTGTAGTCAGTTGTAGTCATAGATAATAGATACACAAAGGGTAATAGATGGTCAACTCGAAACGCGCCGATTTGCGCGCCCTCCGGCAGGTTTAGTCACAACTAAATAAAAAAGGCGCGCACTTTAAATGTGCTAGTTATTTACTGTTTTTCGTAATGTGCAAGTTAAAGTGAAAAATGGATAAGAAACAATGTAATTTCCTTTTTTATAAAAGAAAACACATTGTTTCTTTGTAAAAAAGGAAATACATTGTTACTTGTCCATTTTTCACCTTAACATAAAAACTTGCGAATTTATAAGTGTAAAAGTAATAATAAGTGAAAGAATAGTAAAAGAAATTTATTGAATGTAACAAATAAACTTGTACAAAATAAATTATTATGTAACTTCAACAGACAATCGGCCAAATAGAAAAGGCCACAAAATAGAAGAAACAGTAATACAGTTTAACTTAATAGTAACATTAAATTTTTAACAACTTTCAGTAGATAACTAAAACCTTTCAATAATGTACTATAAACATTTTCAACACAATTTTAATTAAATATTACTAAGATAATTATTAATGAAGGTAAAAAATCGTTAAGTTGTGGCAACTT